CGCCCGCCTCATCGCATTACGGCTTCCTGCTCATTGCCCCGCAATGTCTCTTCGTGCGGATCCCCCGCGCATTAACATGACGGCCGGACCGGGGCGTTTGTCATAGGTGGCCGTGGCCCGGGCGGCGGCAGGAGGCATTGGAAAGCTTCCCTGCCGCCGCCGCCGCCGGCGCGGCGCCACCGCAGGCCCAAGTGTCTAGACAGGGGGTGGCCAAACTACGCGCCAGGCATCCGGTGAAACTGGCGCGAAAGTACTTAATTCGTCATCCGAGTTCACTAAACTAAAAAGATAACTTATCTCATACAATTAATTTCAGTTAGAAGGCGAATTTTTTTTTTTTAAATAAAGATTGACACTTGTGAAAAATGCAATTTTTGTGCTGTTTCGTTGCCAAGCTGCTTCGATAACACAAGTATTCTACGCATGTGCAGCTACTACATCGAAAGTTTTCTGTCTTTTAATACACAATTGAAGTGTTGCTACTCACTTTTAAACTACGCAATAGTCCAAAATTATGAGGAAGAATACTACTCAAACTACTAAACACATTTTACAACATTCAAAATGTTCGAATATGTCTTGTGGCATAACATAAAAGCGTCCCATCGAAGTAGTTTTATTTGTGTTTAGCATACAGATACCACATAATAAGCCCCACGAGTACAGAATTATATTCTACAACATGTGACAAGACAGGAGACAGTTGTTTTATTGCTTTCTTAATTGTCCAACCAGCTCGCTATTCATGACGCCTCTTTTTGTCGCTGGCTCCTTAAGAATATTGGGGATGTCTTAGCCGGAGCAACATACGGGGCGGAGAGGGGAGGGGTCAACGATTACTAAGGCAATGGTGGGGGCGAAGAGGCCAGTACGAGGAGAAGGGGGTGGTGATGGGAAGGGGAGGGAGAGGCGACGCGAGATGTCATGAAAATAGGCGGCCCGTGCCCGTCGCCGCGCCGCTCTGCGCTGCGCCGTCCCCGAAATGTTCGGGCGATAAGAAAAGGCCACGCGGCGCGGCGTCGCGCTCGTTCTCCTGAACGCCCGAGGGGACCGCCTTCTTTGTGCTGGCCGGAGACGTCCTTTTTTTCTTCTTCTTCTTCTTCTTCTCCTTCGAGAGGTCATTGCCCTTTAGTGGCAACAGTCTCGCTTCGAAACAGGAAAGGCCGGTAAAGAGCCTGCCCGCCTGACGGTAATGTCCTCTTCCCATCTCTCTTATCTCGCGGGTGATATTTTCCTCGTGTCACTCACTCTTCACAAAAGCGGCGGATCTTTTTTTTTTTCTTTTCTCGGAAGAGATCAACGCCTGTCCGAAAATCTATGTCGATATTCGAGTGCTTCCTTTCTCTCGAGTGGGCAATCATAAATAAAAGAATAGAGGAAACATGTGTAGAGGAGCGAGACACTTTAGTTGACCTTTAGCAATGTAGCTCTGAATTCGCAGTTTCCATTTCAAGGTTTGCTTTCTCGATTTTGTGAGTATCTGTATGTGAAGCATTCTGGATTTTCTGTTTTGATTGCTTGCGTATACAAGGTGAGGGATAGAGAAGAAATAAAGGAAGACACAAGAAATTAAAATTGACAAGAAAAAAATCGCTGTAACTCCGGAACCTTCAAAAGAACCACCGAATAATTTTCATCGCAGTCTTTCGATTCGAGTAAAAATCATATCAGCACAACAAGACGAACGACCTTCTCGTTATAATACGCCACAACAGCAACCGCCAACCCCCAACAAATCATACACCAGTCAGGCGATACTATCAAAGAGGGAGACTCCGACGAACGTGAGAAATTTTCGCTTTTTGCGAGGACAAATGGAGTCTGCGGCGGCGCGGAGATTAAGCGGGGCCGGGGAGGTGGTGAGGTCTCATCGCTCTCACCTCCCCCGCCCCCCCCCTCGCGCTCGAGGACGGCGTATTTGTCCAGGGCGCTTGATACGCGGAGCCCCGCGGCGACACCCACCGCCACTGCGCTCTGGCGCGGCGACGTTATAATCAGATTTGGCGGGCTTGCGCGCAATTAATCACTGTGTCTTCGGTGGGAGCTGTGGCCGCCTTGGCTGGCGAATGGCGGTGGGACGCCCTGTGTGTGGTGTGGGGGGGGGGGTAGGCCAACGCAGAGGCTGCACAACGGTGCATCTGCAGATGAATACGTGATGATGCAGAAGGAGAAGAGCAAGTCGAACATTGTGTGAAGATAAAATTTGTTCAACAAGCCAAGACATGGAAAAGGAGGTGACGAGAAATGGAGTAAAAAAAAGTGGAGAAGTGAAGGAGTCATGTGAAGGAAGGAGGAGACGGGATAAAGTTAAGACTGACAGAAGACAAGGTGATGTGCTCTCACGTGGGATGTGGCGACATGAATTGGTATGATTGTGAAGTGATAGAAAACATACTGAGATGTGGTGAAAAAGTGGTGAGAAAAAAATGAAATGGGGAGGGGGCGATGTAAAAAGGAAGAAACTGGGAAGAGGCGACGCGAAGAAGTTGGAAGAATGTGCGATGCCAAGAAAAAGAATTAGGTCCAAATGCAAGGAGCACGTCGAATGAGATAGAAGGAGAGTGAAGTTGATAATTATTTGAAGGAAAGTGCGGCTAGGCAAGATGAAGAGTATGGCTCAAATGAGTAGAACAGATGGAAAGAGACAAAAAAATAGTGAAGTTGGATATCGGTTCGGTTGCAGCAGAGTGAAGTCATGGTGAGTAGTGGCAGTGTGCAAATGGCCCAGATCAGGTGGAAAGAGAAAAAGAGAGTGAAGCTGATAATTGTTTGAAGAGAAGTGCGGCTAGGCAAATGAAGAGTATTGCCCAAATGGGTAGAGCACGTGGAATGCGACAAAACAGAGTGAAGTTGGAAATCGGTTCGGTCGCAGCACAGTGAAGCCAGGGCGAAGCGAGGCCGAGCGGGACCGCGGGGTGGAGGGCGCTGCGGAAGGGCCCGGAAGAGGCGGGAGGCGAAACGTGTCAGCGCGGCGGACGGAAGGATCATATTTAAAGCAGCGAGATCCTCTGGGGGGTTAGAGCGCGACTTCATTTACAGTGGCGAAGGGGCGGTTTGAAAAGAATCTGATAGCGGTGAATGAAACGGTGGGAAATTTCTCGATTGTGCAACGCGTTCAGGGAATTAAGATGGTTAAATGAAGTAGGGGGAGACGCTAGGAAAGTTTGTAATACGGGAAGAGGATGTTCTCGAGATCAGTTTAAGTGACGTAGAGATTCAGCAGTGGCTTTTTTTAAAATACATTTTTTGTATCATTTTAGTAATAAAACACAATGTTCAAATGTGGGTTCAGAAAAACATTTTTCCCTTGTAGAGATATCGTGCAAAATGCAACTAATTGGTATAAAACATCTGTAAATTAGCGAAGAAATTTTAAAATAGCCAAAAAGCTACTGTATCTCGCCTTCAGACGTGTCTGGCTTACTTCTCTGATAAGGAACAAATAAGAAAAACATAGCACAGTTTCATTCTGAGACAAGTAATCTTTAAAAACGTTTGATGTAAGTAATATCTTACGACAGGAAATCTGTCACCGGACTACTCCGCGAACCCAAACGCTGTCCCCGCCCTACGCAACTCCATCGCGCAGGCCATAAAGCCCACAACACAATCGATGGCGCACGCACTGACGGCACCCGCACCCGCC